CTGAGAAGCTACAGCCGCCACTGCCGTCACAAATCCACAACCGCCAGAGATGGGTAACCAGTAACCAGACGAACCAATGCTTAGAACGGAGAATGGTGGTGGACAAACCACTCACGCAAAGAGCGCTACCATAATCCTAAAAGCTAGTGCAAAGAGCACTTTTGAAGCATCCTCATCCATGCAGCCGAGGAGCAGTGGCTGGTGGTTGAGATCTCGGGTCGGGACACAGCCGGAGGGAATATGTGGAGGACACCGTAACAGAGAAGGGGCAAGGAATGTAGAGGTGAGAAGAGAAGATTGAAGAACAACATTTATGGGTGTGGAAGAAAGAGGAGAGTGGAAGTACAGATTTGGGTTTTCCAAAGTTGGGCATAATTTAGGGAAATTTAGGGTGAGGGTGAAGAGAAAAAAGTAGAGAAATTCAGACATAGGGAAAGGGGTTGGATAGGAGAGGAACTCTCACAGAGGAGAGAGAAGACTCTCACAGAGGAGAGAGAGGGAGGAAGTGGGAAGGAGAGGGGGGGAGAGGAACTAAGGAGAGGGGAGGAGGAACTAAGGCCTCCTCCCCAAAGCGGCGCTGCAACAAAAGAGGGGCTAGGGTTAGAGAGAAAAGAAGCTCGTGCTATTAGTTTCTACACTTTAATGATTCTAGATCAAATCAATATCGTTCGACCCACTGTATAATGGGTTTAATGGTGTGATTGGACAGTCTAGAAAAAATGTTGACTTCCCCAAGTTACGCATTCTTGATTTGTCTTACAACAATTTCACAGGTGAGATTTCACCTTTGTTTCCAGATATTGCTGTAAACACGTCAACATACATGCAGGCACAAGTACACTATGCCATCACTGATATTTATCTTACACGAAATGTTTCTTACCCAATCACATTAGCAATTAAAGGTTTGGATTTGCACTATTCGAAGATTCTTGAAGGCTTTGCAGCGATTGATATCTCAAGCAACAAATTTGAAGGTAAGATTCCAGAATTCATTGGGAACCTTAAGGAGCTTCGCTCACTCAATATTTCCAGCAACAATCTCACAAGTTCTATTCCATCATCCCTGGGGAACTTAAGGAATCTTGAATCGTTGGACCTTTCGCAAAACAAGCTCTCAGGGCATATCCCCACTACTACAAAAATCGAAATAGACGACGGTAATCCACCGTCGTGTATTCGGTTTTTCAACCGTCGTGAAATCGAGCGACATCTTTTGATGCATAAAACCACGACGGTAAATCCCCGTCGTCTATTATTTGCAAAGACGACGCTTTTACTCAAAACCGTCGTCTATTATGAAGTAAAGACGACCCTTTTTATATAAAAAC